CTCTCTCTCTCTCTCTCTCTCTCTCTCTCTCTCTCTCTCTCTCTCTCTCTCTCTCTCTCTCTCTCTTCCTCTCAGAAATCTCGAGCGATCGAGACCTCGGCTAATTCCTGTCCGCGCGATTTCCTAGCAGGAAAATCCCGGAATTATTTCACCGTAAACCATCGTTCACGCATCGACGAATTTTCGTACGAAATGTGATCTATGCATTGGAAGTGTACTTTCTACGAATGAAATCGATACTCCAGTTCGTTTTCTGTCGACGACGGATCGCGCTCTAGATCGTTCTCTACCGGCGAAATCGCCGGTTTCGATTCTTTCCTAACAAAAAAAATCTGCCTTTTAAATCGTTCTCTGTAGAGCGGATCTACGTACATGGCACGTGATTTTCTGTCGACGATAACCACGCTCTCCGATTTCCCTACGGATCGAGCCTGCGTTCTGAATCATTTTCATCGTTCGACTAAGTATTCTTGCGATCGATCCCTGTCGCTTGTGCTTAGACGTTATCCGATTTCGATCAAATTTTCAGCACTTACACAAGCGATATAAATCTAGATCGTATCTGTTAACACTGGTAATTCTGGTATACCGGAGCCACGAGTGACCCTATTTTATTACTATTTCTACTTTATTTTAGAACCATAATTATATCTATGTTCTTATCCTGTGGCCTAGCCAAAAGCAAAATGCAATAAATCGATTACCTGTGATTAGATTAACGCATCTTTTTGCATTTTTGATCAGAAGCCTGTCGTAACCCCAGTGTACCAATCGCTTTTGCGTTTTTTCTTCTAAATCGAAAGAAAATTTGATTCTTCGTACAGAAAATAAAAATTCTCTCAATCCATTAGGGAGATTTGGGACAAAGAGGTGCTGATCGATAGTGAGCTGCGAACGAAATCATAGCGCAGGGAGAGATTAAACTTTAAGCGGAACGAAGGAAGGAACGCGAACGGACCAATCTGAGAAAAAAACCTTCTATTCGTATACAGACTCCAGTTTGATCGACATTTAGCACCGCCAGAAACGAGATACGTGCACGTGTGAGAAAGTGAAGCGGTGCGTCAACGAAAGTCCGGCTCTCGTCGCCGATTTCCACACCGCGGAAAAGGGTAAAGCGTAACCCGATACATATATAACTACCTGTCTCGATCGTCGTCCGGGCGAACATGTGTCCAGAGGCTGCTCGGTCCAGCGAAAACGATGAAAAGTTCGATCCGGGTTTTCTTTTTCTATCTCGGCTCGTTGCGAAACCGCGTCGCGAGTCAAGCGTGAAGAGTGAGACCAAGGAAACGGGACTGAAAAGCCAGTCTCGAGAGAACAATCACGGATCACTGGTATTAAGATCGGTAGGGACAGGTCGCCCGTTGGTTCCTGGTCAGTTTGGTCTGGCACTCGTTCATCACCAGCACTTCCGGTAGCACGGAGGGCTGCGTCTTACGCGCGTCCTCGCCGGCCACGAAGTCCTCGCGCGCCTCGACATCCCCAAAACCTTGGAAGATCGATGTTGATGACCTTGCTTCTGGCCACTCTGTGGAGACGCGGTCATACGCTTCGGACCCGAGGAACGGTCATTCTGAAAACCGGTCCGCGTATCCTGGAGCGAAGGGACACCCAGGAGGTAAACTCGAAGGAACTGACTCTGAGGGATTCAGCTGGTTCTCGAGCCGATTTCGGGTATTCTCCAGCCCGATGACCACCTATCCGGTTCTGACAGACTCTGCCAAGGTCCCGGTCGGGTCCTTCATCGCCTCGAAGTTAACCCCCGAAGCTGGCCAAGGCTGGAAACGAGACCAGGAGCGCGAGCAAGCGCCTCGATTTTTCGGATTCGCGGTCGCTCGCGGTTTTGCGCTGCGGTCGAGATCGAAGCCTGGTCCTTGGCTACGACTCCCCTTGAATTTCGTTCACGTTTTCGCCACTTCACCACACACCTGCCGGTTCGCCGCTCCGCAGAGAAGCAGCCGAGCCTGAACAGAGCCGCGGAAAAGAAAACCGTTGCGGTCGACGCGAGGCTCGAGACTGCACTGTGCGCCGAGTCCTGTGTTGTTCCGCTCGCGGTACCCTGCGTGTACCACGAGGCGGAGGAACAGGGAACCGGTGGGACGAGGGAGAGAGAGAGAGAGAGAGAGAGAGAGAGAGAGAGAGAGAGAGAGAGAGAGGCGGGAGGAGAGAGAAAGTGAGAGATAGTCGAAGAGAGAGAAAGAGGGGAGAGATAGCAAGTTGAACGGTGAAAAGAGACAGAACAGTTCTGGAAGGATAAAGGAGCGACGAAAGATTTTATGAAAATTTGGAGAAAGTGATCGGGTAGGACTTTTTTCGGATTCGATGGAACATTTCCGATGAATTAGGCGAATTTTTACAGAATTTCTGTTGCTCGAGGGGGGACACTGTGGGCGAAAGAGGGCGAAGGGGGGAGAGCGATAGGAAATCCTTTTGTAGTATCGGGTACTGCAAGAGTTTCGAAATGGGCGATATTTGAGCAAATCTGGACGAATTAATGAATAGTTGATTAGTCGTAGAAAGGGAAGAGAGATAGAAAGATCGTTTACGATCGTGAAGAATTGAAAAAATAATTTTTAGAGGCGGCACGGACTTTAGAGGTATTTAAAAACATTTTTCACGACTGTAGATAAATAACTTTGAACAAATAAAAGATAATATTAAAGGATTACGTAGAGTTGCTAAGGATGTAAAAAAGAGAAGTAGTATATTTAAAAGAGTGGGTACGGATAGATGAGAGTGCTAAACTGATAAAGAAACGATAAGGGAGGGATGGAAAGAGTGTTTGAAGATCGCAGATCTTTTCTAAGGACGCTGGACAATTTTTCTCGGAGACAGGGACAAAGAATGAACAGAGTGGAAGGAAATGACGAAGACAGATGCTGGTAGGAGGAAGAACGAGGATCTGCAATGATCTACAGAGTGATTGAACGATCGACCGCTAGAGCGCGACACTAAAAGGAGTTTTTTTTGCTCGGCGCTGGATCTGCGATAGAGATGGCCACTGCGGTTAATGAATAAACAATTTATTCCCTAGATACAAAATCGTCTCATCTTAACTATTTAAAATAATAGGAGAATTCTACTGTTTGTGCAGTTGATCGACGAAAGAAAGATAGCCAGGACATTAATAAAGCGTCACATATTGCATTAACCCTTAAGATCCATTTCTACGAATTCGAATTTTTGAATAACCGGTTTAAACTTTTAGTTGTTGATATTATAGAAAAGTTGGTCACGAAGAAATTTATTCATAAAAGAAAACTGATAGAACTTTAATGGATTTGGTTGATAAAATTTTAGAAGCGTCCACCGTTTAAGGTTTGAAGGGACACGATTAATTCTAAGCTTCATTTTAACTTAAAAAAAAGACACCTCTGTCGATCAGTATCACCGTTTTAAATGATTTTATATGAACCTATTTGCTTACAGAGGTATTGTATCGGATATAAAAAAATTTAATAACATGAAAAGTCTTTTGAAAAATGTTATAGCATTTTGTGGTAGTCTGTCGAGTACAAAGGTTTAAAGTTTGCGAGGAGGCGAGGTGTGGGAATTTTGGAAATGTTCGACGCGACTCGAACCCATCGCTGGCGACTGGAGTCTCGCGAAAAAGGGGTAGAAGGAATAAAGTGAGAGGAAGAAAATGGCTGCGGATAGTAAAAGGAAGAGGATAGATTGCATTTACGTCATCGCCCGGGTTAGATGCTGTGCCACGATCCTCTCGAGGGATGTAGACTTCGCGATTCTTCTTGATTCCCTCCGAGCAAAATACTTTGTAACCGATCGGGCGAAAACCTGTTGCGCTCCAGAGCCTTTTTTTCCGTGAAAGAATCGGTCTCTGATCCTTACACAAACTTTGTACGACATTCGAACGAACAGAAAATGGAATGCGACACAATTAAACACTCGGAATGCGGTAAAATGAAACGTGCAATCTTAATTTTCGATGACATTTAATAATAGTCTTGAGAGAATGAAAGAGGAGTTTTTGCAGTTCTTTGGAGAATTTTTATTTGTTCAATTCATTGGAGAACTTTTGGGAGAGTTCTTCCGATGAAAATCATTAAATTCCTATCAATTATAACACAACCCTTAAAAAATCAATTTTACTAGGCTTCTGGTAATAAAGTGTTAATTCCAATTTTTAATTAGAGAAAAAATAACTTAACGTCTGTCATTTAAAATTCCATCGACCAAGTCTAGGATCGATGTTATTTATTAATAATTAACTAAATAAATATTATGTCTGCAAGTCGTAAAGACAAATATTCAGTAATTACATTAATTAATTTTATATATTCGAAAAAATACGCAAGCACACTTTTGCCGTTTCATTTTTTCAAAATTAAATGGCGAACGAAAAATTGTTTGATTTGTAAATTTTTCAAATTGGTGACGTAATGAATTTTTCTTTTAAATAAGTGTCATCTATTGATGAATGTCGACAACAAGATCCGTATGGACGAATGATGTTATCGACGCTAACAATTTTACCAGCAGAGTACACAGCACATGTTTGGGCATGTATCATAATACCAGTCTATCATGGCACTTGTTTATAGAATTACTACAAACTTGTATACATTATTAAATAGTAATTATTGGAAGTATTCAGTAATGGTAACGAGGCTGAAATCAACGAAACATTCCGTTGAAAAACCAGAAACAAAAGATAACTGTATGTTAATTCATATAATCATTAGTATCCTAACCTGTACTACCACATCTTTATTACTTGTTTTCTTCATTGTTTACTATTATACTCATTTCTGTTATTTATTAGTACAACTTGAATAACAAAATGATCATTCGTAATTTTGTTTTATACACTTTTTCTTTATGATATCGACATAATTTTAACGGATTTTAACCTACAATTCTTCAAAATACTTGTTCAAAGTATTTTATATATCGCTTATGCGACATAAAAATACAGTTATTAATACATAAACTCGTTAAGGAGATGATAGACATGGTAAATTTAGACTTTGATTATTCCAGTTGTCATTAACTGTTACAGTGGTAATGACTACTCCAGCAGCTTTATACTTATTTAACAGTGTTATTATGGAGTAGTTTGTATGAATTAAATGTTGTAAATTTAATTAATTCTTTGCATTTTCTAGTAGATTCAAGTGAAATGGAAGACAATTTTTCCAAGGTACATAAGTTTAGACAATCTCAAGCGCATAAAAGTGTTCTACTGCAGCTAAAAGAATTTAAGCAAATCGGTCAGTGTCAACAATTTTTGGAGTCATTTGGAAAATTGGAAAGTATATTTCACTATACCACAAAATTGGAAAATGTATGTGTATTTTTTATAGTTGTTACTGTGAAGTAAAAATAATTTTACTATGATTTCTATTGCAATGTTATCTTTAGCCAAATATGATATTAGCGGAATATTGTACAATCAATTCAGTGAGGAACTTATTACGACAAGCAACGTATAAGAATATAACTGAGTATATTCCTATACCTACGAAAATACTACAATATCACGAAATAGATTTATCAAACGTAAATAACAATATCACTTTTCAAAAGTATAGTCATCACTATCCTACCTGGGTCTCTACAAGAATTACTCTATTACGTCCAAAATATGTAATGTATTACCATATTATGCATATTAACAATTTTACTATGATAGTAAAAGAATATTCTCTTTTTTAGATATCAGATCAAATGTTATCACTGTATAATACATTGAAATTGACAGACATTGACATAAGATTGAGATACTACACTGTGAATCAATTAAATTTTGCCTTGTGTAAATTATTCCCAACCATTTCTGTCTTACCATTTGGTTCATCTGTATCTGGTTTTGGAGAGATGGGATGTGACTTGGACTTAGTATGTACATTCAGCCACGATTCAAAGATTCAAAAAGTAAGTGTGCATTCTGATTATTTTTACACGTCCAGATGACACACATTTCCATAGACTTTACAAGAATTGATTGAACATATGTGTTTCACAGGATCATGACAGCAAATTAATATTTTCTTCAAAACCATTTTGTCTTGTTGAAAGATTTGACCAACGAGAATTTCTGAGACAATTGAGTGTATTGCTGGACAAATTTATTCCTGGTGTATCTAATGTGCAATGCGTTCTCCAAGCTCGTGTCCCCATTGTTAAATTCCGGTTTGGTCCCACAAGCATGCAATGCGACCTCAGTACCAACAACTTGTAAATATCATGGGGCTAGTATGTTTTTACATATAATGGTCCAATGTAATCTATATCTTACTTGTTTCATAGATCTGGTTTCTACATGTCTCAAATGTTCTATAATCTTGCAAACATAGACTACAGGATTAGGCCACTGATATTCACCATTCGCAAATGGGCAAGATCTCATGGTGTAACGAGTAACATACCTGGTTCTAAGATAACAAATTTCTCTTTGACGCTATTGATAGTGCACTATTTACAACATATAAAGATGGTGCCTCCTTTGCGTAAAATTTTGTTATCATCAGGTAAGTCAAATGAATGTTCTAAGTGTTTATTCGTACGATTGATTAAATGCTTTTTTTCAGGAATGCCGATATGGAATCACAATACAAAAAATGTAATGAAAATGGAAAAACTCCTGTACGGTTTTTTTGAGTATTATGCTACCTTCGACTTCCACATGCATGCCATATGCGTCCTAGACGGATATGTCAAACAGAAACCAGACGTGACACCTCTTTATATTCATAATCCTTTGGACACTACGTTGAATGTTAGCAGAAACATCACTATTTACGAGTTGAAGATATTCATTGAAGCAGTTCTAGATGCAATAAAAATATGGAACAATAGCAAAGTCGTTCACATTTTAGATCTAGTAGATGAACCTTGTTCGAAGGATGCGAAGAAAGAGCATTATGAAATAAGGATGAGAAAACTCGATGAAAACAAGCCTGAAATACTGGAAAAGATATTAAAAGACGATGCGGCTGAGGCCATCAAACTAGATCAGACCGATAAAATGCAAGAAATAATAAAATAATAACAAATTGAACTGTTGAATTTTCTACGATCTGCCTGTTTCTGCATTTAAGTATGATGATTTCCTTCCCGTTGTGTTGTATATTGAGGCTTCACAGATGGCAACTCGTCAAGACTCTGTAGATAGTATTTTAGACGAATTTTTATTCAGCAAAACATTTACGACTTTGTTATGGATAATTTTCAAATAAAATCGACCCAGATATCAGGGAACAAATTCAAAGACACATGTCCCAATATTTAAGGGAAAGTTCCGTTATCTAGGACCTCGTTGAAAGTTATTTCTACCTTATGAAAATTATGACAATGATAGCACATCATTTTTAAAGAGAGGAAGTACGATATTTTTGCAATCTATCAGGATAATATTTAATTATGTACATATAAAAACATGTGTACAAAAACGCAAGAGGGATAAAATTGAGACCGCCATACTCGGTAACTTGTATATTTCTCTATTATCAGCAATTCGACAGTTCTCATACATGCTTAGTCGCGTACATTTTCTATAATTGGTAACGTCCGCGCGATCCGTTCTCGGATCCATGACCATTTCTATCGATCGTGTTTGACTCTCGCGAGGATCGTCTGCATGCATCCTACCGGAAGTTGCGATCATTTTAATAAATCCACGTGGAATGCTTGTGCATCCTTCGTTACCACTGTTCATATTATATCCTCTGATCGATGGAACGTGGCGGACGATGCATCCCCATACGAGTATTTTCGCGATTAGGCTATTGTTGCTTCTCGAGCGGGGGAGTGTTGTCGTTTAAATTCGTAATATGTACTGTGGCTGGCAGTGTTTAAGTTCGCTAACTACAACTTCCTCCACCCAACGGGATAAATTCGTCGCGCGACGTCGGTGTGTACACGTGTAACTGTTTCTCGTATATTCTGTTTTTTTCTTTTCTTTTCTTAATTATTACAAAGTAGCCACGTCGCCACGTATTTCTGTGTATATAAACTCTAATTACAATGAATCAGTTCGATCGATCAATTTTATCTTGAGCAGCTTTGGAGACTCGATACTCAGCTAATGAAATCCGTGATAAAATGTCCTCTTCGTGGTTTAGTCATCGATTTTGGAACCTGTTCCACTCTTGGATCAGCGACTATTAGGCACAGGAAAAATTCTGCAGACTTGAAACTATGTAAATAAACTCAATAGTTCATCTGCTTTCTGATAGCTGTGATATATACATATAACGATAACTTTCCACAGACTGCGAATTTTATGCATTTGAAACCATCACAAATGTTAATTTGCTTCTGCAGTTTCTACAGTAAATGCCAGATTTTTATGAGAAATAAAATAAAAGTATTTGTATCATCATTATAGTCGTAATCGTTGATTTAACAAATGCCTTGAACAGTTGAGAAAGAGGAATTTAATGCCGCAGAATTTTTTTCTACGCCTAGTAATCGTGTCGCGCGCAACATAAATAAAAGAAAATGTAAAATTCCGTTGGTTTCCAGGAATCTCCAGCCTCGAAGAGTTAATCGACGAGAAGATCGTAAAACCACGCTGATTTCGAGTCGAGTCTCCGTTTCGAAACGTCGCTGGAGGTGTTTCGTCAACGACGAGTATACCGGGCAACGCGTAATCGTTCTTCCTTCCTCGTCCTCTTCATCGTCTTCTTTTTTTCGAATTTTCTGTTTACGTATTACTCCACTAGTGGCAGCGATACATCGTGACCTTCGGCGCTTCAAAGTGCAATAAAAAAGCTATTCAATAAAAAACGGAGAAGCGTTCTACGCTGAAGGCTCTGTTGACGACCCTGAAACAACCCGTTGACCAGACACAAAACGGGTGTAGAAAACTCGACGAATTGGGGGATCGACGAGAACGAAACATGAAAACCATTATGCGTTATGGTCGTTCGCGAAGGTGATGTTCGTTTGAGCTGGCCGCGGATGTTTATGCAAGAAACAGATGTTTATTAAACAAGATTGAAACTTCGTTAACCCCTGCGCGCTGCCACTTTTTCATCAATTTCTATCATCGGCATCATTTTCGACTCCTTGTCCAAGCGCAAACGGAGATTCATTTCTATAATTCCTTTGAGAATTTTGTCACCGTTCAGTGAAAATGCCGCAAGATCTATTTTTTTTTCTTTTTTTTTTTTGAGCAATGTTGAATTTTCAAAATAAGTATTTATGCAAGAAATTGTAAATATTAAAGCTTCGAACTTGTTTGGTCTGGTTGCACGGACAAGGGATCGATTAATGTAATTTCTGAACGTTGCGCAAGGGTTGCAGCCCGAGTTGGACTGTTCACAAAAGATGAATGTTCGACGACCATCGTACGTTATGAATGCATAAAATCCGCAGTCTAGTTTTGAAGGTGCGCATCCTCGAAGGTGGCGGCGATATTTATTCTTTCCGTCCTCGTTCTTTTCCTTTCTCATTCATCCAAACGAATGATTCTTGACTCTCGTGATCGCGCTCGATTTCAATGCATACAATATATTTATACACGTCACGCGAAATGCCCTTTGATCATCGTTCGTGTCCGTAATATCTCCTAATAAAACGTTCAAAATGGTCGAAAAGAATCTCGTGGGACCCTTTCGCGTAACAATATTTCTCTACTAATTAACAATGTACTAATGATCGAAAGGTATAGTCCTTCGATTATACTTTCCCGAATGTACGCTAGGTGTTTGGAGGGTTTTCGATTCCGTCCCAGATAGCCGGACGCGCGGCCGAATAAATCTACGTTACTCAACAGCATGATCGATCTAACGTAAGTACCGTGTTTCAGGTTCGCTCTTTTCGCCACCGATTCATTAAAAGCAACATCAAACGAACGATGGTATCACGGACGATTGTTTTTACAAAGGAAAGACTGAACAATCTTCCTAGCATCATTGAATGAACGTCCCTACAAGAACTCATTAAACTTCTTGCTAGCTCCTCTCGTGGTTAAATATCAGAGAAATATAGAAGTAGACACTCGTATCTGTCAACTTTGAAGATAGTTGAAATCAAACGAAACTAGGACAAATCAAGATAAGCACTATTAAAGGAGGAGCTGGCAGCTTCAAGATAATAGAGACTGATAACTTGGTATAGTATAAAACAGACACCGCAACCTACTGATATACCTTTGCTTAAAATCATTCTGAAACGATCAACTGTTCTGTTATTGAGAGTGAAGCAATCTCTTCCACAACTCTCATCCTTCCATTTTATACCATGCTTCCAGAGAAACTCAATCGTACAGGTTCTAAAGTTGGATTATGCTTCGGGTGTAAATAGCATACAACCTAACATCTTGACTAAAGAGAACTACGCTAGGAGAAACTGAAAATGGATGGTGTATTGTGTTGGTCTACTGTCGCCAAGCATTTGCGTCTAGTCAGAGAAGAGGATTGCCAGCTGATGCAGACAATCGGCTCTCCGGCCGTCCGACTATCTGGTCAGGACACCTCGGAAAGCTCCCCGAACCCGCACCCTGACTATCCCCGTATCGAAGCGGCGCTTCAATTCGTCTTGCTCTTCCTGTGATGGCGGCGATGATGCATGTAGTGATAGTACTCATGCGACCTGGTCTCCTGAACCGCCGCCACCAAGTTGCGCACGTCCTCCTCGTGTCCCTCGAAGCTGTCCGATTTCTTGAGCTGGCCAAGAGACGCAGTGGCGCCTTCGCTGCTCCGTTTGTTCTTGAGCCGCGGAAACGTTTCCCAGGAACGCTGCTTCTGCACCAGAGACGACGACTTCGATGTAGGCCCGATCAAAACAACCAGTGTTTTCCTTGGTTCCTGCGCGGATTGACCTACCGTCCCATCGGCGATGCTCGACCGTCTGCTACCGGAGCCGGTGGTGCTCAGACTGTCGCAACTCGCGCGCCGACGCCTCCTCACCTCCGTCGACGCTTTGTCGTCCGCGTAGAACACGTCCTCCGAGTCACTGGCCGGGTACACTTTCACGCCCTTGCCGGGCGGTATCGGATGCTCGTCCGGAACAGCGTGCACCTGCGCCTGGACACGTTTCTTCGCCTCGCCCATGCTGGACGCTTCGGAAATCCGCTGGTACTCCCCTTCCTCGCCTGCTGGAACCAGGCGCACCACTTCAGCAAACGTTCACTGGCTCGACTAGCACAGTAATGCCCCGGCAATTCATCCAGGAACTATGATCTGCTTTCTAAAAGAAGAGACCTGGGATTCATTGCCGTTATCGCGAATCTCTTCTTTCAAAAAGCAGGATATAGTTTGCACAGTAACGACTAGCAGAGTAATGCCCCGATAATCGACCATTGGACACGGCTATGATTCTGCTTTTCGAAGGAGGAGACCTGAGACTCGTTGCTAGCCCACGCCATTATTTGTGAATCTCTTCTTTCAAAAAGCAGAACACAGTTTAGAGAAAGCGGCGACTGCGCGTGTCTCCTTTATCGGAGCGAATTGTGTTTGTTATCTCGTCGTGTAACTGCCTTCGAACGAAACTACAGCCGTTCCTCGTGTCAATTTCAATGAAGCGGTGCGAGACGTGTGTGAAAATTGTTGGCAGAAGACGGTGGAACGCGGCCAAAGAGCACGGACGAGCAAACACGAGACAAGCGATCCTTAAATTCCACGGCGAGGGGCTGTCTAACTGTATAAAGATGTATTTTTCTTGCTTTGATAACCGGGACCGGCATATCCAAGTTACCCTAACGTTCGATTTCCGATAATCGTGCTCACACATTTTGATCTCCCGGGGACAATTAATTGTTCCGACGCGGCGGAGAGTACACAGAATCACGTTCGACAGACAATCCAATCGGACCACGAGCACCGTTTCTAATTTACTCCCCGTGCAAGGTGTTTGTCTGATCGTTTTATGCCATTGAATGGCGCTGCGCGGAGACAATCGGGCGCTGGTTTTAATTGAATCCCGGCCGCCCGCACGCGTTGTTTTAATTGCGATTCTAATGGCGTTCGATCACAGAAGGACACTCGAACGGCGGAGCCGCAGAACAAAGGTAACCGTCTCATTATACGCACAAGAAATAACTCCAGCGTGCCGTTAAATTTATTATACGAACCCTCCGAGCGATTTAATCAGCCTGTTTGTCGATTTGACAGCGTACAATCATTTCTCGCATAGTCTCAAAGGCAACGGAAAACAATGCACGCAATATTTTGGCATTTCGGAGAAACGTCTTCGCCTGGTAAATCGTGGGCGTCAGTTTTCATTCAAAAAATAGTGCTGTCGTTACACCGTCCAACAAAATTTACTCTTTCCTTTTCTTCTTACATCGTCCTAAATTTAAAATCAAAATCGATCGCTCTATGTCAAAAGTTCTTTGTATATCAACTGTATAAATACCAGACATGTATTTTTGTTTTTTTTTTTTGCAAGAAACGATCCTAATAGACTCTCTCAAGTAAAAGAATATATAATATACACTTCGATAATATTATAAACACGAATGATCAATATGTACAATTCATTTTTGTGTTGGACAGTGTCGTTAGACAACAGAGACAGACAAACACTGTGCACATGGTCCTGAATTGGGCACGAACGAAGTATAATAATTCTCGTGTGCGTTCATCAGGGTTTTATTTCCATTGAATTCATAATGCTATCTACATAGTCCTGTGGTGGTGTGTGTTTCAGAGAAAGAGAGAAAAAAAGAGGGAGAGTGTCATCATCAGTTTCCGTCGGATCATCGGCAAATCCGTGGTCACTGTCCTAATTCGATCCAGGCCAATACCGACGCGCTTAGTTAGTCGTGCAAGCGATCCTCACGGATTTGTTCTTACCAGTCGTGTGTGACTGTGGTTGCTGGGAGTCTGCGTATCTTTCCGGTCGGTCGAGACCTTCCGCGGAATTGTCACCGCTGCCACCCTTCAGGGAACGACACAGGGAGCGCACCTTGCTGGCCGACGAATGACCAGGCGGTGTTTTCGGTTTGGAACCGTCCGGCGATTTCCTCGACCGTCGACTCTGGCTTCGATCACGGCCGTCCTCTCTGCCGGGCGACTTCTTCCGGTCGTCTTTACTCCTAGCCTTCTCAATCAGCTGGCTGAGGACTCCTCGCTTTGAGGAGTCGGCTGGCCTAGGGGTCGCATACGCGATGATGTTTCCGCTGGAGTCCAGCACCGCTCCGACCCCGTCGGATGGGGTGAGGCAACGCGTTGGCATCTCCTTTGTTTCTGCAGAAAGTGGTCAAATTTAGCATCGACAGTCTTCAATATCTCAGTGAAGAAATAACGGAATACATTAGGGAGCGGTTTGGAATGAGCATCTTAGATAAAACTCATAATTTTCTTTCGGTAAGAGACTATTAGAAACGTCTTGTTATTGTTAAACTTTTATAACCGATTGCAATTACAATCTGACACTTTCTTCAATACCTTTCATGTAGAGAGCATTGTCGGCACTGGTGACAGTGGGACGCTGCTGGCGATGATCCTTGGTCGGCGCCTGAGTCTGAGGCTGCTGCGACGGCTCCTGCATGTGCAGTCGTGCCAGGTGATCCAGCAGCACTTGTAGATCCTGATTGCTAGCTGCGTCTGAGACTGCTATGCTCACTTCACCGGCTGTTACACCCGTCGTGAAGGATTTTATAAATGGCTCCAATTGTTGGGCTAGGCTTTGCAGCTGCTTCACCTGACTCCTCAAAGACAATATATCGTTCATCTGAAACAGGATCAAAATCGACGAGGTCAAAGATGCGCGTGTTTCTTTGCTGGATAGGAGAGGCTAGCTGAATTTAGACCAGAACTAAGGTAAGCCACTCTATATATACATATATGTATAAAGGAGAAATTTTATTTGTTAGTACCTGAGAGTGGAAGATCTCCTTCTCTATACGAATCCTACACAATTGTTCGTCCCATAAGCCATCGAACACATTCCTCAGTTTCTCTAATTCTAACTGATGATGCTCCAATTGTCGTTCTAGCAGCCGACAGTCCTTGACCACATGTTCGTAGCGTAAACCCAGAGGCGGAGTGTTGGCCCTCCTCAACAGAGATACATCGTGATGAAGCTCCCCCAAGCGCTCCTTCACCATCAGCAACTGCTGGTTCAATTCCTTCAGCCGACTGTCGAACGTCCTACAGTGGTTGGAGAACGGTTCACCATCCATTCCGCCTTTCGTTGGGACCCTCTGCGGAGCCTTGCTGCTCTGCTTGGAATTGAAATGTGTCATATGTGATCACCGATCATTCGCCCGATCGTGTATCATTGATACGGGTCTGAGTAAATTGTCTGACTACCACATCCTGCTAAGAACACTAGCGGGAAATCAAAGTTGTCTGTCTGGCGAACCACCAGTTGCGCTACGAGAATGTGCTGGGTGTTCTGTGGCAGTATTTTCAAAGTGGATTCAGCAATAGTACAGGTTTCCAGCTTGGGGCACAAAGTAGCTACCTCGGATGTATATGTAGTTTCATTAAGACTTATAAGCTCTGCGTTCTTTTTTCTATAATGTCGCTGCTACCAAATCCTGCTCCGAAGTGTGGGTTCTCCGCAGCCCAGAACACCCTGCACAACTGTCTAATCTGGCTACGGACTACCACCATATACCAAGTACAAGCCACATCATATATATCGAGAGTAAAATCCTGTCAACGAAAATACTTACACAGAAGTGTGCACGAGAAATGCAGTGAAAAAGAAACTTGTAATATGAACGTAAAGATGGAGAGAGTTTGTAAATCGAGAGAGCTGGCCAGGCCGAATGTGGTTAGCTACCTGAATCACCGGTGGCTCCTGCTGCATCATCCCATGAGTTTGATCGTACAACGACTCTTTCGGGGTCTGCGCCTGCCCTACGAACGGCTGCAGTGACCTGGCGAACTCGTTTCTGTAGTTTGTTTTCAAGTAGGCAGTCATTAACGGTGGTCTGGATGGGTGGCCCAGCTGGGCGACGCGGCTCAGTCGTTCCAACATGGGATGAGCTAGCTCGAGAAATTGGAACTTTGTCGCGTCGTTGGTGAACGCGGTGCACAACATCAAATGCATTTGCAATACGGGAAGCGCGCTGCCTAGCGACAGCAGTTGGCTCCGAACCATTCTATCCTTAGTTTCGAACTGTCTCTGCAGCTCTGTTAACACGCTCCCATGAGTCTTGGTGATGGCCTCCTGCATGCCTTGACAAAACGAGTTCAGCGCCTTCTTCTCAGATTCTAAACTATGTCGTAGTTCATTTAGCTGTGACATTAAAGCTCTCACTCCATCCTCCACTCCCGCTTGCAGATCCCGGATTGATTTCACTGCTCTCTCCATCTTCTTGTACGCTTGCTGGTAAGCACTCTCGATGTCTACACAATGTATTCTGGCTTCGGCTGGTGTGTCACGGGAACAGGTGGCACAGAGCATGCATTTTGCGCTCTGGCTGAACATTATGTACGGTTCCCCATGAGTTGAGCAACGACGTTGGGTGTCTTTACTGCACTTGCTCATGTGCACCACTTCATGCGAAGAAAACATTTTTGCACGATGCGTATGCTCCCTGCAGTGTGTACACAGCGCTTGTCCTGAGAAAGATTATGTTGTGAGTATATATTGTGGAACAGTTATTTTTCATTTATTCTTAAGCATACATTTCAATTACATACCACATGTTGTACAAAAGAACATTGTAGACTTGTCTCTCTTGTCGCAGTTGGCACATGGTGGGTTCTTCGAGTTGGCCAACTCAACTAGCTGACGTATCAGCTGATCGGACGGTGGTAGTTGTGCTCCATCACCCAGCTGCGTTTGTTGTCTGTGCACAAAAATATTTTCTATATTTTTGCAAGCTAAAGTGGAAATGTGTCAGAAGGTTATAAAGGGTACTAAGCAGTAGAAATTTATAGACACAGCTTACAGGTAAGACAAACAATGTTGTAAATAGTTACGGTAGTGTGAATCGCAGAAGTTTCATACTGCATAGTAATCCATAACATGCATGTGTTACAATGAATGTTAGAACATATTAAAATAAGTGCTTGTAGTGAAACAATAGACAAACAAAAGTCTCCCACAGAATTGAAAGTATCGTACTCAGGCTAACGTAAATATATAATTCCAGATTCTGTATCGGAAAGGATCCGTAGGTCTGTTTTCGAATACCAGATTGACCAAAGTATACGACACGTAGCAAGTAGCAAGTGGAACAAAAGATCTCAGACAGCGTAAGGTTGGCAAAGATATTTCCAGAACTAGCAACTGCGTACAACAATAACATACTAACAAGGTAATGTGCTTCGCAGTGTGTACGCATCGATTCAGGAGAAATGTACAAAACAGTAGAAGACACTGGTAACGTGCAGATGTTAGCCAAACCTAACCCAGACCTGGGATCGTCACCCACCCTAAGGACGCCATGCAATAACAGTCGTTGTTATCTACCCGCAGGTGGAACAGGTGACCTTTCCATCAATGCTACGGATGCAGCGAGCACAAAACGTGTGAAAACAGGACAGCAGACAGGGCTCGTTGTAATAGTCGTGGCAGACAGCGCAGATCAGAGGGTTCCTGGGCCCGCCACTGGGTACACCTGTCGTACCGTCGCTTTCGCCGACGCCGACGCCGACGCCGACACCGACCCCGTCGACAGCCGACCCCGAGCTCGCCATCGTCGGCCAAACCAACGGCGGCCACCTGGAAACCAGAGGATCACTCAGCCAACCCTCGTTTGGGCACTCCTCGGACGTTTCACATTTCACCGTTTCCAGTTACACCCCTCGCGCACCAAACCACTCCCTCGCGAAACACGGAGATGGATTTTTCAACAGAAAATAACGTTAGATTGTTTACCCCAAGACCGTTGGCCCGCCCGCCGCAGAAAACCCTGATGGATAGTTTATCGGCTCGTCATTCTAACGTAGTTTGGTGGGCAACCCCGTTTGCGCCTGACGATCGGCTCTGACGTCACTGAGGTGCCACCAATCTCGCCCTCTTCCACGCTGGGGTGGTACGTACACAGAGAAAAGAGGACGGGCTGCTGTGCTGCTGCTGCTGCTGCACGCGGCTATGGAGGTGTGCTCGTGCACACACAGACTGTATACACACAGCTCCCCTCTGACGTAAGCGCGAGAGGGTGGTTGTGCGCTTACGTGCTCGCCCGCCAGCGATGGGTATACAACTTCATCCCCAGCCCGAGTTCTCGAACAAATCACTGGATTAATATACTATTGTTCCCCATGCTAACGTTTCACGCTGTAATGCGTGTTAATCCCCCGGCGCATTCTCTCGTAAAATCTCTTGGAACCACCATCGTATGCTCACGGGATGTGTAACGGGAGTTACAGCGTAGTTGCTCAATAGCTCTTCGGTAAGCAAATGTAAATGCATAAATTGCTATTCGCTTTTCAATGCAGATATATCCATCCATAAATAATCAGAAAGTTCTATTAGAAAAGCGAATACTTTTAGATACGGCTTTATTTGAGATGTATTTCCTGTAAGGTCTAAGAGCTCAGCTTCTCACCCTAGAATTATAAATGAAACATTATAATCTATTCATTTGATACGGTCGCTACCAGTTTTCACAAGAACCTTCATAGCCGTAACACTTGATTAAATATTGTCCCTTTGTGAAATGCAAAGAAAATATTGTCAATGCCATACCATAATTTTAAGTTATGCTGTATACGAAATTAATGTATGAACGCTGGTAGCAAACGTGTAAAATGTACAGTGTGAAATAGGCTATCTGACATTGTAGTATTTTTAACTCTTACCACTCTAACTTCAAATCTGTCTGTATCAGGCACTCTCTTGTTTCCATTTGCAAGATTGCCTGAAGATTATTATTGATGATCGTTGGACACACCAAACAATTGCAATGATAAAGATTAATGCATTCATTGGAATGGAGATCTAACTGGATCCGTTGTTTCAGGTGACTCAGCGGCGTGCTCGAAGCCACCGCTACCAGCGGATTTTGCGAGTGTTGGTGCCACGGGGCTAGGATCTATGTGCGTGAGAGTGGCAACCCCCGGCGTCGCCGCCCCTCGGCACCTCCGTCACCCCGTTTTCTGCACTCCTGCAGGGATCTATATGCCCGATATATATACATTCGACCTGCCGACGTGTACATGTGCGAGCTGCTGGTAGCGAGAGACGAGCGTGTTCTGCTCTGCACGGGAGAGAGCATGGGCTCGCGTATATAAAGCGGTGCAAAACAGAAAAAAAGAAGGGACGGGTTGCTGCTAGGGCGGAGGAGGAAGTAGGAGGTGGAAAAAAAAATGAAAGAAAGAGAGAAGGGAAGTGGGATTATGCATATTCCTTTGTAACCAACGGCTTTTCGTTCCGCAGTTTTCATCCACTCGTCGCCACGACATTAACGGGACGCAATACTAAAATTTGTCCTTCTGCCCTTCGCCCTCCCCGGCGTAGGGTGTGCGCCCTTGTAACCTACAAAAGCTGGCGGCTGCATAAGCATGCTAACTCCTTCCCGACAATCTTTCCCCCATCTCCTGTTTCCATTCGCTAGACGATTGTCCCCTTTCCACCCCCACCCCCCACCACGCCAGTAACCCTCAGGTTCGCCCCCTTCCATTTTTCTCGTTTTCTCTGTGTTTCTCTGTCGCCCGCGGATTCCGCGAGAGACCGGACCTTCATCTAATCGTTCCGCTCGGATTCCAGGATTTATTTGTCTGCGACAATGGCCGGCCTGCGAGCGAACCGGAGCACCACCAGCTCTCCCTATCGATCGTTTAAAAGATCCTACGGGAGAAGGACGCGTCGGAAACGTGTACTTAGACCGCCAATCTGCAGCCAGAATCGACCGATTCGCACCCTCGGACCTGGACCTGGACCTGCATACCCGGACCACATCAAACCGCCCTGATTAATTAACCGTTTCGCGGTCGAGCGTCTCCTCGAGGATAATGAGAATCTGTTTGCGGCTAATAGGGGTGGCGCGGGTTAGGCGAAAAAATTCGGCTGGAATTCTGACGGGATGGTGACGCGGGAAACGTTGTGACAACGTGAAAATTGGGCACCAAGCGAATCGATGTCTTGTTTATCGTACGGTCAGGGACTCGTCGTGAAAGTCTGTTTGCCATGAACATGTAAAAATCCACGGTACAATGACGATAGGGTCTTTGTTGCGCGCATTGAGTGCACGGCCGGCTAGTTATTTCTTTAGTAATCCCTTATGAGCGCCGCGGTCGAAAGTACCCAAGGCTATTGAATTAGTTTCCAGCCCCTAAATCCGATATCCTATGTATTCGTCGAGGGAAAAACACGCGGCCTACGTGCTCAGGGAAATATCCAACGGCTGGAGAGTGGATAGCTGACCCTCGAACGGGTCAGTGAATGCTAATTCCGCGACTCTTCCTCCCCTCTCCGGTAACCGCAATGTGCATCTCCTTCGAACTGCACAACCGAGACCGGTCCAAAAAATTCCATCCCTGTAGAAGGCATCAGGGAAATTACTGCGTCTACCTTTCTGTAATGCCTCGCATGATCCAGTCTCGAGCGTCATCTTCGTGGTTGTCCTTTTGTGATGCGCCACGGGTCACGGGTTCCAGACCAACCTTTGCTGAATGGCGCAGGAGTCATTGTATTGCGAGGCTCCTTGCGAGAACGTAAGCCTCGATGCACCCTCGACCACTATGCAAATGTACATCCCTGAAATACATGAAATCGTACGAACTCTGCGCCTCATCGAGCAAGAAGGTCTCTTTAAGAGAAGTAAATCGAGCGTATTTGGCAAATTTAAGAAGCATATTTCTTCGTTGTTTTCCGCCCAAAAATTCTTGTCAAAGGGCAAAAGTTTTAAACAGATGTGCCGGAACGCGTTAATTTTGTTTGTCCAACGAGCTTCTTCGAATCCGTAAAATTGTAATGATCAAGCCGTACCGAAGCTCATAATCGGCGGTAGCGGTAATAACTGCAGTAGGGTGCAAGAAATGCGTCGACTCTGCCGGAACAGCCGCAATTTCCCGCGGAGAGCGTCCTCCGGGCTGCAGGTTTCAAGGGGCGTCTCCTGTGAAACTCTATTTAATTTTTCCGTCGTCACAGATTCACAGGAATTAATATACGCCGGTGGCTTTCGATTAATTAAGAGTGGCTCCGTGTAGTTACAGGGATAATTCTACGGTCGTGCCGGGGCGTTTGTGTGTTTGCCATCCGAGCTGGTGTGTGCGCGCTCGTATTCGCGTCATTGTAACTGGTCGAGTGTTCCACGCGCTTTTGATTCGCCGATACTCAATGCGCGGTTCTCCGTTCGCGTGATCCGATCGACCGGTAAAATTTCACCGTGTTCGGGTTTATTAATATTCGTTTAATGTAGCAGCGACGATTATCGGTGGCACGTGAATTTTATCGAGGAACAGGCTTTCCCAAAACAGAAGGTCCAAATTGAATCGCGGAGCCTATTCTCGTTCGTGAGCCTAATTTTCATGTTGTTACAACGTTTCCCCCGTTACCATCTCAATTAGAATTCCAGTCGAATTTTTTTCATCGTTCGTAGATTCAAGTACGTGTTTTACTTCCTGTTTGATATCCAGAGATTTTATTTTAAGAGTAATAATACAGTTTCCATAGGTAAATTATCTTTTTACTATCACCGCATTTGGCAATATTTAATTTGGCAATATTTAATTAGTAAGAACAATTCTGTCCCACGTTATTACGAGATTTTCTGTATCATATCTTATTTCTGGATTTTGAAACAGCCAGTACAGAGATATCAGGGAAGTTATTACATTCCCAGGCAGTTCCCCGCGGAATAGCGTTCCATTCTTTGAAAGTTAGTTAACCAGCGACGTCTGCGGCTCTTTTCTTCCACTGCGCCTATACTCTGTATTCTCGCGGTAGACGTGGTCGTTAATGATACGTGGTTCATGATATTCGCGTCCCATTCAAGATCGGTCTGCGTGTCCCTGCAGCTGCCCATTTAATTACTTGGTGTCACCGTTGCTTGAGAATTTTATATCGCAACGGGTAAGGATGACGCCATAGAAACCAATTGGTACACAAATTATGTCGGAGAAATTATTAGAGAAACGTGCGAGTCTATAAGGCGTCCGCGAATAATATATATATAATTATATTATATTATATTATATTATATTATATTATATTATATTATATTATATTATATATATTTTAGACTATGCTGCATTTTGAATAATTTCAGAGACGCATGATTNGCCTAATTTTCATGTTGTTACAACGTTTCCCCCGTTACCATCTCAATTAGAATTCCAGTCGAATTTTTTTCATCGTTCGTAGATTCAAGTACGTGTTTTACTTCCTGTTTGATATCCAGAGATTTTATTTTAAGAGTAATAATACAGTTTCCATAGGTAAATTATCTTTTTACTATCACCGCATTTGGCAATATTTAATTTGGCAATATTTAATTAGTAAGAACAATTCTGTCCCACGTTATTACGAGATTTTCTGTATCATATCTTATTTCTGGATTTTGAAACAGCCAGTACAGAGATATCAGGGAAGTTATTACATTCCCAGGCAGTTCCCCGCGGAATAGCGTTCCATTCTTTGAAAGTTAGTTAACCAGCGACGTCTGCGGCTCTTTTCTTCCACTGCGCCTATACTCTGTATTCTCGCGGTAGACGTGGTCGTTAATGATACGTGGTTCATGATATTCGCGTCCCATTCAAGATCGGTCTGCGTGTCCCTGCAGCTGCCCATTTAATTACTTGGTGTCACCGTTGCTTGAGAATTTTATATCGCAACGGGTAAGGATGACGCCATAGAAACCAATTGGTACACAAATTATGTCGGAGAAATTATTAGAGAAACGTGCGAGTCTATAAGGCGTCCGCGAATAATATATATATAATTATATTATATTATATTATATTATATTATATTATATTATATTATATTATATTATATTATATATAATTATATTATATGATATTATATTATATTATATTATATTATATTATATTATATTATATTATATTATATTATATATATTTTAGACTATGCTGCATTTTGAATAATTTCAGAGACGCATGATTCAGCAGGTCGGTATCTGCTGTACAGATTTCGTTATATAAATGGTATTATTATCTAGGGGTGGGTAGCCTCTTGATAAATACGAGATGGAGTCACCAGCGTTTTCCATTAGGAATTAAAAAGAAGTTCAATTCAAATAGAAATATTCTCCGGATCGAGAAACGCAGTTTCAGTTTCGACCTGTCTCAAGAACAAATTGTTACAGTTGTATTTTTTGTGCCGACTCGAGGTCGCCCGCTACCCCGATTAACTCAGCGTGGCAAATCCTGAAGTCATTTGCTCGGCAAGTTCAGCTGTCTTCGTCCTGACTTCCTTTCATTACTATAAAAGGGTTGTAAAATAATGTAACAATTGTAATGTGTGAAAATAAAAGTACTGTTAAACGGAATCCAAACGTATTTTTATTCGCTGATTTTCCTAAAGCTTTTATCTTTATTCCTACATATTCCTTTCCCGTTCATGTTAGTGAGAAAGTTTTAAGGTTTGGCTTTCCATTGACTTAAAATACTTGCTGCTTGTATCAGGAGAACATGATAATCTTTGAGGAGGTATTCCAAAATTACCCCTGCCTGGCTTTTCATTGACTTGTACTACTGAAATTTCGAAAAATTTCCGAAAATCTCGAGTATCAGGAGCACATGATAACCTTTGAAGAGGTATCCTGAAATTGTTTGTCTGGCTTGTGGTTGAGTTGTACTACTTGCGAGGAAATTTTCGAAAATTTTTGCCGAAAATTCGACTTTTTGTATCAGGAGAACATAATATGCGAGGAGGTATCTCGTTTGTTTGAAATTTCAGTAGCACAAATCAATAAAAAGCCAGGCAAACGATTTTGGAATACCTCCTCAAAGATTATCATGTGCTCCTGATACTCGAGATTTCTCGAAAATTTTCGAAATTTCAGTAGCACAAGTCAATAAAAAGCCAGACAAACAATTTTGGGATACCTCCTCAAAGATTATCATGTTCGCCTGATACAAGTAGCAAGTAGTTTAAGTCAATGAAAAGCCAGACAAACAATTTTGGGATACCTCCTCAAAGATTATCATGTTCGCCTGATACAAGTAGCAAGTAGTTTAAGTCAATGAAAAGCCAGACAAACAATTTTGGGATACCTCCTCAAAGATTATCATGTTCGCCTGATACAAGTAGCAAGTAGTTTAAGTCAATGAAAAGCCAGACAAACAATTTTGGGATACCTCCTCAAAGATTATCATGTTCTCCTGATACAAGTAGCAAGTAGTTTAGGTCAATGGAAAGCCAGACCTTAAAACCTTCTCACTGGCATGTGAACCGGAAAGGAATGCGTAGGAATAGAGATAAAAGCTTTAGCAAAATCAATAAATAAAAAGACGTTTGAATCGAGTTTTATAGTACTTTTATTTTGACAAATTACAGTGTTCTTATTCAATTTTACAATCATTTTATAATAATGAAGGGGTGTCTGGACGAAGCCGGCATTCGGTATGGCTACCTTTCTTGCAACGACGACAATAAGACGCACGCACGCACGCAGTAGATGTCGAGTAATTATTGCAGACCTAAAGTGGATCAGAGAAGAAGTCTCCGAAGGCTCCGATTCTTTGAAAGCGAGAAACAAGAGTAAGAGCAGAAGGCTCTGAGTCGAGGGTGACGCGCCGCGCGCAATGCTTGCACAAGCCTTAGAGCCCTACAGATCTCGATGTTCGACACTTCGCTATGAGGAATGTTCGTTTAAAGTTTCACCCTCCATCACTGGATGACCGTTTCTCGCCGGCACTAGGTGCAGTTAAGAGAACTTAGAACGTCTTACATGCTAAAAACATGCGTCGTCAAAGGAACATGCTCAAGATAGAGAAACGACAGTGTGGGTGCATTCCTTATATTGAGGAAGTGGCTCGTTCATTTAAAATGTTGGGGACTTCTATAATACTATATAATAATATATAAAATAATAGTAGTAATGATAATAATAATAATAATAATAATAATAATAATAATAATAATAATAATATATAATACTATAATACTTGAAGAATGTTCCAGGAATGCGACAGAGATGGATATATTGAGAGCA